GACTGGCTGGCTGACTGGCTGGCTGGCTGACTGGCTGGCTGACTGGCTGGCTGACCGGCCGGCTGGCTGATTGGTTAACTGGCTGACTGGCTGACTGACTGACTGACTTCTGATTGATTCATTGAGTGATTGATAACTGATCGTTTGATCCATTACCCATAATACCGTAGGCTGAAGTAACGATCAAATAATTATTTTTTATTGAATTGGATTGAAAGAAATTGCGTGAAAGACTAAACTGGTGAGTGCTCATAACTGACTGACCTACTGACTGAATAAATGACCGGAGCCATTGACATGAAAACGGTTGGTAATTCAAATTACAGTATATTTTTTCTTACTTTTAGATCCAAAAAATTGAAGAGTATATGGCTCACAGAAGACTACCTGTTGGTCTCAGAGACAAAATCACTAAATATTACGAGCACCGATTTCAAGGAAAACTTTTTGACGAGGAGAAAATTCTGTCTGAAGTTTCTCGACCATTACGTAAGGTAAGAATGAAAAGTGGTTCTCAAATCAGTAGATTGCCATGCCACGCAGTTCTTCTTGTTAAAGAAGAGATAACGTAAATCAGCATAAGAACGATTTCGGTTGAGGATGCCAATAACGTGTTGTGTTCAAGGTACATTAGCTATTTCTTTTAATCATGTAACGTCTCTCTCATCGTCAGGCAATTGTCAATTACAACTGCCGAGAACTCGTCCGCGCAGTTCCATTTTTCTACGATGCTGATCCAGATTTTGTGTCAGCCATTATAACAAAACTTGACTTTGAAGTTTATCTGGAGGGTGACGTCATCATACGCGAGGGGGAACTGGGAACTGAGATGTATTTTCTTAAATCCGGGGTAGTGAGTGTCTCTTGTGAAGGAGTTGGCACTGATGATCTCTCCGATGGAGCATATTTTGGAGGTGAGTAGTTCAGTGCGCTGTCGGTTAGGAACCCCTCCTTACCCGGTTTCAATTGTTCGAAGGGTGAAATCAATGAATCTTTGCTCAACCAATGAATCTTTTGCTCAACCAAACCTTTACTCAACCTAAACTCTTACTCTTAAGGAAAAATGGAAACTTCAACCTTGTGAGCAGGAGACAATTGCGCTAATTAGTGTGTGAACAGGAGACAATCGCGTTAATCAGTAGGATCATGGCGTTCATTAGAATTCTTTGCACTACGTGAACCTTTTGTGCTATTTGCAATCGACCATTTTCGTATATATTAGTTATAGTTTAATATTCTGTTCGTATTAAGTCTTTTTTCATTCGTCGGAGAGTGTGGTTCGCTTAAGGTTTGGCCTGTAATCGAGTGAAATAGAAATAAATTTTTTTTTCCTGGTGAACACCTTGTTCAACAAAACCTAACCATTTTACTTACTTTACTGCTGATTTACTTTTATTATAGGCTGCTATCTATTTATATGACCTTTACGGTGTCCAACTAGAAAGATTTTGTTACTTTGGACACCGTGCACCTCTCAAACTTTTCTTTATGGCCAAATATTACTTTTATTCTTCTCTCTCTCCTATTTTTCATATAAATATTAACTTCCATTAATAGTGTGAAATAAATAAAAGTTAAAATGTTCAAAGTTCAAAGTTCTTTATCCGGTGGATAGCGCAGAACGTTTGTTAAAACTTATCCACAAGGTATAGCGATTTATCCGTTGGAAGGTGTTATCTGCCCTTTGAACAACTAAACAGGGGCAGCCAACCTACCATACTCGTTATCTCTTCAATGATGCATAGCGAGTGGAGTGGGTAGCCTAGCAGTGTACGGTTGTAAAAAAAAAAGGGCAAATAAAAACAAGAGCCTTTTTTTTTGTTAATTTTTAAACTAATGGTAGATTTTCCACTCTCGTTTATCTTAAACTTATAATCTAATGATAAAATCTTCCAATTTCGGAACGCTGAGATACGTTTGCATATTGACGACTGTATAATTCCACCCTACGTTGGATTATCTTTATCAGAAGGCTTAAAGGAATGATGATTCCATCTTTTAGCTTGATCATATCTGTAATGCTTTTAAGTAATCCTTTCCTGCCCTGGACAGTAAAATCATTAACAATTTATTACCGCTTAGTTGTCCAAGGGCGAAAACACTATCCAATGAAAAAAATCGCCATCCAGTGGCTATAAAAAGACTGTGCTATCTACTGGATAGGGATTTATCTATTGGATAGCCATATTCACCCTTTTAAAAAAAAATGGGGCCAGGTGGCCGGACGCTAATTTAAAGATTATCGAAATCATTATCCCTTCATTTTGCTGGCTTATATCTCACAGTATATTTTGCCCGTTCACCGATTGAAACGGAATTACCTAAATTCGAGCTTTGACGAACCTCTCCGCTCATTTCATTTTGCCACTGATCCTTTTTCCAGAGATCTGCCTTTTGACTCATGCAAGACGCACTGCAACCATCGTAGCAAAGACGATGTGCGACATATTTATTCTACACGCAGAAGATTTCAGAGAGGTTGTGGAAGAATTTCCAGAAATGCGACACGTTATGGAATCAGTGGCATCGCAAAGATTGAGCAGAATGGGAAAATCGGTCGACTTTTCAAACCCCGGTTCTCCTTCGAGAGAGTGTTTGCTTGCCAAGCCTCAAACCTCGTTGTCCAGACGGAGCAGTATTTGCTGTAGCTGTACGAACTTACTTCAACCGCGAGAAAATAACCCGGAAATTGTCATCACTAGAGAGGTTTCGTCTGATGATGGCACGATTATTAATGTAATAAGTTAGAGAGCTTTTTTTATTGATTGTCGTAAAATCAAAACCAATATTATAACAATAACCATTCAGAGGGAAGAAAAATACCTTCAAGAGCTCGAGCTGATGAAAACTCAAAGTAAAAACAGACAAATCGCCTAGATCGCGGGAAAACGCGGGCGACCAAATTGTGGCTGGTTTTAGTTATGCAACTGATTGGTTGAGATAGTGACGTGAGATTTCTAGACCAATTACGGAGCGAAGTAAAGAGAAGCTAATTCAATCGGATTGCTTTCGACAGTCAACTGAAAAGTGCTCCAAGATCAGTTCTTGCAATTTAGTTTTCGGAGGTTTACCTTTCGATATTCGTGTGGTGGTTTTTCCACCTATTTCCAACTGTCATAACGAGGTTTGAGGGCGTAGAGCTAAGCGAACAATGCTGCTTCGAACATTAATCAGCCTGTGGCAGTTTTTCACGTAGTTTGCTCAGTCATAAAGAATGGTTGTGCAACGAAATAAGCACCATATGACAAGCAAGCGATCAGATGAACTTATTGAAATTCGAAGGCGTCTTAAAGCGAAATTTTGAGGTCATTCTAAAGATTTTAAAATCAGCATTAGCTTTTTTTCCTCACAGAACCTGTTCTTTTTTAAAAAAAGGCAACAGGTCCTGTGAAGTAAAAATGTTTCTAGATGGCAGACTTTGCATACTAATTTTTTCTGTTTCTCAATTTTGCGAGAAATTCATGGGTTCTCCGAAGGTAAGTCATTTTAGCGCTATTTTAGCGTCGAAAGGAATCATATTTGCCAGAAATGAACGCCTAAAGTTTTATTTGTGACTACAGCATCTGATTTTACAGAGAAAAATATTTAGAATAAAATATCTGCCCAGAAAAAAAAGATTCTAGCATGATCGTTTTTGACTCAACAAAGTTGATGATACTTCAGCTGTTGGTCTAGTGGTTCGAAACCACGGATACGCCTAAGTGTTTACGATATCATTTGCATGGCATTTGAATGGAGGCAGCGTTTGCATGATCGCTTTTTTTTTACAGAAAAAGTCGTGTTGGTAACTACTCATTTAAGCTTGTTTCACCCAAGGGAATTAAATTTGGCATGGATAATCCATGGGGTGGTGGTGAGTTTCCGCACGGCGTTAAGATCGTGAAAAAGAAAACGTGAAACTAGAGACGCCCAAAATTAAGTGGGAATAACTTAAATGCAGCATGAAAATATTTTGAAGCTGCCAAACTTTTAAAATGTCCTAAGGGAACCAAATGCGGGTAAGTCTATTTAGTAAGTATAGTTTATTTAATCACATATTTTGTCTCGACTTTCACATCCGGGAAAGTTTTCTTCATTGGATTAATAAAAGTGCTAGATGAATTTGTAATCTGCACTGTTCACAGATAGCTTAACCTTACTAGTCCAATCTTTGTTAGCTGATATGCAACACAACATGGCTTCATGAGGATTCCACCCCGTTCCTCTCAGATGTGCTGGTTGTGCGCTACCACAAACTGAACTATGAAGTAACGCTCGAAACGTCAGCTTTTGTAATCATTACGGTGGCCAATTTACCATTTCAACTTTGTTGATCTATCCAAATTATGAAGTAACATGTTGGGAGCGGAACGTATTTTATCGTGATCTTCCTTCAATCCCACAATAAAAGAATTCTGAAAATGATTTATTGAAATAAATTATATTTGCCCTGCACATGATAAACACATGAAGTATGATCCTCGAAGGTCCCATAAGTTTACCGTGTTCGTAACATCTTTCTCTCAGACTTTTACTTTTACCTTCACTGAAAGCAGGGGTGAAAAGCGTTTTGGTTTTAACGTATCCTAGGCATTTCGTTCAGTTTGACTCGGAACAGTTTTACTAAAAAACGATGTGTGATTGATGAAGGCACTCAGAAATGGTAATACGGGCGAATTTCCGGCAGAGTTATATATATACTTAGTTCTCGGTATTGAAACGACCGCCATTTTGTCTCTGTTATCTTATATGGAAACAGTAAAAAGCGAGCCGAGCATGCGCATTTATTTTACACCGTGTGCAGAACCTGCCTCGTAATCAGAATGAGATCCCGTCGTATAAATGACGACAATATTGTTATCTTCGCACTCATTTTGTTAAGTTAACGATAATTGTTCTATATCACAAAAGCAATGTTATTGATTATATATAATGTACGTAGGTTGATACAGACCTTTTGAAGGGAATTATTAGTTGTTTTTCTCCATTACCCCACAATATTTTGATAGATAGCAAACATATTTTGACATACTATCAATTTTTTCTGGTCTGTATCGTAAACGTTTCGTTGATGAAAATCTTGCTGTCAAGTTCCTATTATCACTGGAAAGCCAAGTAATTAACCAGCGAAGAAGGATTACATAAGTTCGTGTTCGCGTAACAAGAAATCACCTTGTAGCTAAGAAAACATTCATTTCCGCTCATTGTCATCTGTATGACAATTTCACCGCGCAAGTCAAACTAAATTGAGCGTGGTTCTAAACCTTGAGTATTTTGTTACAGCATCTGCTCCGTATTCAAATACAGGCTTTTCTCGTCTGCAAGGACCGTTCATTTATCGCAAACTAGAGTTGCTTTGAACGAAAACTAATATGTGTCTTTGTGGGCCGCCAATCTTCAAAGATATATGATTCCATTCTTAATATTAAAAAAGACAAGCAGTAGCGGAGACAGACATTATTTATCGCTCAAGGTAAAGCGAATTTCCTTCAAAGGTAGGGAAAGCTTTCCTTTACATAAACATTGTGGCGGTTTTCAAGGCGTCTTCTTAGATATAAAAGAAGCTTACTAATTCTCCAAAGTTATATCATGAACACTATTATCATTTCTGAGGAAGCAGAACACCAAAATTACTTTTTTTTAATACAAACAGACAACTCTCTGATCTCAACGTTCATATAATCAAATGTATCTCGTTAATGTAAAAAACATCTCTTTCACGTAATAAAATAACACAGGAGGTAGAGGGTAATTTCGCCACAATTCTCTTTCGTATGAAAAAAAAATCGCGAGTATCGGTCGGAGATAAGATATCAATATACAGTAACGATTTCAACGAGGAGAATCGGATGGATTATCACTAGTTAACTGCATTTTAAACAACATCCGGCTAACTGTACTAATAAGATTTCAAGGTGGCGTTTCAAATTAGATTTCAATTTTGCTTTTTGAAGGAAAACAGGCTGAAGAGAATAAAAATTTGAAGATAAGGTTATCAAGGGCTGACGTAGAACACACAGGCCGTGGTACTAACTGCAAAATTTCTCGTAAAACGTAGACTATTACGTCAGTTAATCTAGATGTCTCGCAAGAGAAAATGAAAATAAATTTCCGCTGCCTTGTTGGAATAAGAGAGTAAAAGACGCAAATTTGAATAATATACATTGAAACGTTTATAGCTTATCCGCTCAGGTACAGAATGAATTCATAGATACATAAGCTTTGAACTAATTATGTTCTTTAATTTCAATTTCTACCGATTTACAAGTGCATTGCCTCTGTTTTCATAGGATAATTTTCCAAATATCCAATTTGATATTCTCTCCTCAGGTGATGAATTGCCTTTGTTGTTAACAAAATTAAGTTACAACATTTAATTTTCCACGGAGACGGGATTTATCTGCAATTTTAAAATATCTTTTAATTCCACGAAATTAAAGACCTTGAGCTGATGTATATGTCACTCTACAAGAAAACGTTGTCAATTCTTTATCAAGGTCATGAGCGTACTTTTTTTAACTAAGGAAAATTGAATGCATCAATAACTTCTAAGCTGTTTTATTGTCGCAACTGAGTCAACATAGTCAAAGACATGATAAAGGTGTATGACCAAACCACAGTTAGTAGAACCATTTCGAGCGCGCAATCCCTTTAAATAGACGTGCAATATGGATCAGAATGGTGGGCATATTCAAACGGACGGACAATATATGGATAGGAATGGTTACCATATTCAAAGCAGTGACTCTGTAGGTACACGTGATAGACACTTAGATTGATCTCAATTCTCAACTTTCTGTTAAAACAGATGTTATAACATAACCAAAGTAAAGCGCGCGCTCTGATTGGTCAATTTAGCGTCCCCCATTTGCCCATGGGTGTACGCTGCTGACGTGAGCAAATGCAAAGACTATTTTTCCGCGCGCGCTTGTTTTTTTCTGGTCACGTAAGATTTGTTAAATAAAAGGGAACTTTTTAGCTACAATGTGTTAATGTTATGTTATAAAACAAATGGTAAACACCACAGCGTACACTATTGAGTTATGGATGCACTTGGGAGGTTTGCTAAGCACTCAAGAAGCTAGAGTCGCTCTCGGCTATCGCCTCGAGCGACTCTTACGCTTCTTTCGTGCTTAGCAACCTCCCGCGTGCATCCATAACTCAATAGTGTACGCTGTGGTGTTTACCATTTGTTTTATAACATAACATTAACACATTGTAGCTAAAGAGTTCCCTTTTATTTAACAAATCTTACGTGACCAGAAAAAAACAAGCGCGCGCGGAAAAATAGTCTTTGCATTTGCTCACGTCAGCAGCGTACACCCATGGGCAAATGGGGGACGCTAAATTGACCAATCAGAGCGCGCGCTTTACTTTGGTTATGTTATAATCATATTT